TTTTGTATGCCAAGCTATTGAAAATGATTATAAATTTGTTCTTCCTTATTTTAAGATTTGGTCGTCCAAGCGAAATCCGGCACTGGAAAGACTTGTGTCTTTGCTGTTATCATCCTGGAGAATGTGATACCAAATGTTAAATCTCTGCAAGTAATTTGTTAATTTTTTACATTTTAGTCACAGTTAAAATTTATGATGCATCTTTTCTGAAATGTTCGTGGATGATTTTTTAACCTGAAAATAATTTTTCATGATTGTTTCTATCGTGTTAGGATGAGTAATTTTGATGCATGATGGATGAAGCTTTATTTCATGTAAGTCAAAATGATTTTGTTTGTTTTTTTTTAAACCTCTTTATTTATATACATTTTGCAGTCACTTGTACTGGCTCCAACGAGAGAGATAGCAGTTCAAATATGTCAGGTGATCAACAGCATTGGTCAGATGTTTGTCAAGTTGAAGTGCTACAGCTTCATTGGAGGCACTTCCTTGGAAGAAGACATCAAAAAGTTGGAACACTGCCATGTTGCTGTGGCAACACCTGGTTAGTTTGTCTGTCTTTATATCTATCATCTTTTATCACCATTTAATTATAGCTTGCTAATTACGTTAATAATTAATCTTTGTTTATTCTTTTGAAAATGTTTTTGTCATTAGGTAGGATGCAGCATTTGATAAAAGAGAACCTGGTAAATTTGGAACGAGTTCGTTTGTTCATTCTCGATGAAGCAGATAAGTTATTGGACGATTTTAGATCTGTTGTTAAGTTAGTTCATAAAATTTTGTTTGTATTTTATTATTATTTTTTTAAATTAATACTGATCAATGTTTTGTTAGTTTTAAATGTTGTTTTTTTAAGCTTTTGGTTTTAAATATAAATTTAGACCATTTTTACAGTTTATTCAAACTTTCAATTTATTGATATATATATAAATTTTTGACAAAAATATTGTTAAATTATTATGTAATTTTTGGTCTGGTTTAATTTTTGATGAAAATCTATCAAAATATTATTTTAAAATTTTTATCAAACACCATCATTTTTTCATTTTTATTTTTAATGTCATCGTACTAATTACACAATTGTAACTCGCTGAGCAGTTTCATATACAAAAGCCTTCCGGTGACAAAACAAATGCTCACCCTGTCCGCCACTTACACAGAACCCCTGGCCAACATGATAACCAACTACATGCAGACTCCATTCTTTGCTAGACTCAATTCTCATGATCCAGTTCTTTTAGGTTTCATTTCAGTTTTTACATTTTTGTCAATTTTTGGTTTGTGTTTTTATTTATTAAATAAATTTCTAAAAAAACATACTAAGATTGTTTTGCGTGAACAAGCATCTAATATTTAGAATGTTCATGATAAATACTCCATCAGGCGTGCATCAGTATTACGTGACAGTTCCCTTCCATCTGAGTCAGCACAAAATTTTTTCAGACAAGTTAGATCTTCTGAGCAAGATCTTCGAAACCATCTCCTTCAAACAGTGTCTGGTCTTTTGCAATTATCAAAACAGGTTACTGGAATTTGTTGCAACATTTTTACATACAACAACTGATATATAATTTATGGAATGTTTCCTTTTCCCCATGCATTGCACCTGCCTGACTTGTGTCTCACTTGATGTGAGTACTTTATTGTCCATGTGCACTTCAGTGTTTGTTGTTTTTGTGAGTTGTAATAACGTATTATTGTTGTTGTTGTTGCATTAATGTTATTGCCTCTGTTATGATTACATTTTGATGTCTAATTAGAAAAATTGCAATTTACAGATCTCAATATCTTTCTGAAAAGTTGACAGATAAAGGTATTTCATGTGCTTTACTTTTTTAATTCCTAAAATGATTTAAAACATCAACCCATAGTATCAAAATTTTGTTTTCTGTTCATTACTCAGTTCTGTTTAATCAGCTATCTATACTTTAATTCTGAAATTGCTCCCCTATGTGATAACATTTTTTCTTCTACAGGCTGGTCCAGCACATTCATAAATGGTCTGATGGAACAGAAGGATCGATTGAGCACCATCTCCAAACTCAAAAACTACAAATGTAGGATATTAATCTCAACTGATCTGGTCAGTAACTTATATAAACTTAATGAATCAGTTTTATAGATAATCATCAGCATGCCTGGTTTAAATACTTCCGGAGATATCAAATACTTTTTTGTATTTCAAGACACAAATTGCTTTAAGGTCTATGATTAAGTGAATGACAACATGTTAAGAATGGTGACAATAGTGTTAACATCTCTTCATAACCATCACCACCACCACATGTTTCTGATGGTAATGACTTTCTGCTAATGACAGACTGCTAGAGGAATCGACGCGGAGAATGTCGACCTGGTCATAAACTTTGATGTGCCGGTAGATTATGAAACCTATCTTCACAGGATTGGCAGAGCCGGAAGATTTGGTATCCATTTCATTTTTTATTAAAACTTTTGTTAGGAATATTAGTTTTTTGTTATTGTTATCAGTAGCTGTAGTAGTTGTAGTTATATTATTAGTAGTGGTAGTATCAGCTACACGAGGTTGTAGTTACTACTAGTAGCAACTTTAATGCTAACAATTAGAACAATGCAAATTTTTTACAAGTATTTCTCATTTTATATTAAATAAATAATTTCAGTTTTATTTTTGGTTTTGTTCAGCCTCTCTCTAGCTGGCACTATTCAGCAGCATGTAATAAATAAATAATAAAATACATAGGCACCCATAGCGCTTGCCTCACGTTGACCAGCCTGGGCAAGGAGTATGGACAGCTAAGGTACTTCATCAAACTCTGCCAGACTGTCATTCATGAACTACCTGGTATGTCTTATCTTTGTTAATAGGAGGAGAGAATATTTTATTGTTTGTTACTCTGTGAATTGTGTTTTACCATTTAGAATAACAATTGTTTACCATTGTTTGTTGGTTTTGTTATTATTATGACTATTATTATTATTATTATTTTCATTCAAGTTGTTGTTAATAACGATGTTTTAGTTGAATTTTAGATAGCAAAATGATTAGAGAGATTTTCATTATCACTTCACAGACCCCATACCAAGAAACCTCACAATTGACTACATACCTCCAACGAGCATCTCCAAGTCTGAAAACGATGATGACGACTTAGACCATGAGGATGGTAAAAATTTTAACTGTGATATCAAGAACAAACATTCCAATGGCAATGATAATGGAGATGAAATAATTAATAATAATAACAATAATTATAGTAATCATAATTTCAGTAATTATAATAATAACAATAATATAAACAACAGTGATAATAATGACCTTTTTGATTTTAGTAGCAATGATGATCATATAGATCATATTAACGTCAGTGAAGTAAAATCAAACGGTCGTTTAAAATCTTTTACCGAGAATCAAATCAAATGTTGTATCGATGATAAAAGTGATGATGAAAAAGGTGGTAGTCGTAACAACAGTAATACTGCTTCTTCTATCTCATCAGAACCACCCGTATTATCTTTCAGTTCATTATCATCTCCATCACTTTTATCAAATCCCATTGGTGTACTTACTAACCAAAGGACATTTTTATCACAGTCGTTCTCACCATCATCACCATCCTCAAGAACTTTCATAACATCAATAACAACCAGCGCTAATTTTACGACATCAACAACAGCAGCTTCGTTTTTAACATCTACAACAACAGCAACGACGACATCAACAACAACGACTACACCAAGTTATCATCAAATAATGTCCTTGTTTGCATGTCACCCAAAACGAACATTTTCTAACACTTCTCACCAAAGAACTTTAGATCATCTATTTAGTAAAGCTACTAATGATGCATTCGGTGGTGATAATATTGGTGATAAAAAAGATAAAAACAAAAAAAATGATATCGCCAGTAGTGATAAACGTGTTCAAATGCCAGATTTTACCGTCAATGAGTTCCTAAGAGCAGAGAAGTTGAATCATTACATAGGGAAACCTAATTTGTTGAAGTTGTTGATTTCATCTGGTCTCGAAGATGCTGGTGTATTGGAAAGTATTCAGCAATACACGTCATCACATATTCTTTGCAATGCTAACATCTTTTCAGATGGTAAAGATGTAGCTCTCGATAGCAATAATGGTGTAGGCATGAATGTAAATAACTGTTCTGAGGTTGATGCTGGCCTCCCATCCAATCAATCAAAAATCAACAACAATCGTATTTCCTACACGAAAGAACAGCTATTAAAAATAAGAGATGATACGCTAAAATCAGGAACGATTTCTGACCTTTCAAAATGCCTTAATTTAAAATTAATATCTGTTTATCATCTTTGCAAGAAGGACAAAACAGAATATAAACTGCGAAACAGTATTAACACTTTCAAAGACAACTCAAAAAATAATTTCAGGAATTTCAGCTGTAAGGCTAATGTTAAAAATACCGACAGTGTACTTAACAAATCCGACAAAAGTTTGCCATCTTCAAAAGTTATTGAAAAGCACTTGAATGCCAGCTGTGATGCATCCTCATTGTATTCTGTTACACTAGCAGGTAGTGATGTGACCACCACAGTTAGCAATATTGATAGCTCTGAAAAATGCCAAGAAAGGCACGATAATTTTAATCCTGACTTTTTAATTTGCAATATCGACAGAGAGAACAGTGATATAAATTTAGAAGAGAAAGTTTTAGAAGATAAGGTTGATGTTAAGAAGGATGATGGTGGTGTTGGTGTTGCTGCTGCTGCTCATTGCAAACAGGTTCCCGAGCCAAATTCAGATAAATATATCAAACACATCGATGAGTTACTATCATCAAATAATAATTGTGATAATGACGACGATGATGATGATGACGAAGTCTGTGGTGAAAGTGATGATGTTGAAAAAGAATTAGCGAACGAATTGTTTCTGCAAAGAAATTTAAAATATTCGGAGGTACAAGAATTTAAGCTTGAAAAATTTGAAGCAGACTATGATGAGGACTATGATGGAGACGATGTCGAAGGATACGACGATGAAGAGGAAGATAATGACGAGAATGACAAATCAGAAATCGCAAACATAAACGATATTTATAAATCAGAACATGCTAAAATCGATGAAAATAATGAGAACGTCGGCTTAGGTAGTGATCTTCACAACGAATTAAATGAACACTATGAAGAATATGCTGATGGCGATTACGAGGAAAATGGTAACAACCAATATGCTGAATGTGACGAGGATGGCTGGGAGTACTATGATGAAAATCAATGTTATGATGACGACGAGGATGAAGATGATGAAGAGGAAGATGAGGAGAGCAGCTCAATATCAACAACTTCAAATATCTCCAACACTCCACGCGATAACTACACAATTAAAACCAACAATAACAACACCACATTTCCAGTAGAACACCATGGTGCAACCAGAAATATAAAATTTCCTCAGAATGAAGCCCTGGCCGAGTTCTACCTGACTTCCTATACGATGCACATGCAACAGGCAGAACAATACAGGAAGATGTACGAGAAGCTGACCAGCAGTCGGCGACAAAATGAAACGTTGAAGAGTACGTTGAAGATGCACATGGACTATGCAGAACATATCATCAACAGTGCTAAGCATTTCAATGATGCAGATTTGAAATTGGATGACGATGAAGATGAGTATGAAAAGGATGATGAAAATGATGAAGATGATGAGGATAACAACAGTGAAGAAGACGAGTCATTAGCAAGCGAGATAGAAGCGTAAAAGAAAGCACATAACGTCGTCATTCGCCGTTACAGTTTTTTAGTTCTTGTTTTTTTCTTATGTTGTTTTATTATTCGTCCACAAATACTAAGTAAAAGTTTTTTACTTTGTTGTTTCTCTTTATTAAGGTTATTAAATGAGAGGAATAAAAATGATTTAAATATAAAATGACGCTATTTTTTGAAATTGTCAATCTTCATAACAAATTTGATAAATTTAACATTAACTAACGACATTAAAAACAACAGACTAACACGTCATAAATCGATTATCAAATGATGCGATATAACACCGTCATGTTATAACTAAGCTCCGTGCTCTGTAAAATCATTTCATGTATTTATCTTTCTGTTCAGCGAGTATCTTAGCAGAAGACTTGGCATCAAAGAAGAGTGAATGTGTCTCATCCACTTCCTCCTTGCTTATCTTCTCCTTTCCGTTTGTCTTCGCCAGTATGCTGGCTGGCGTTAGTAGCTGAGTTACGTATCTGTAACGTAAGTCTAACAATTATGCTATTATATCTAATTGCAGAAATTTTCTTTAAAAAACTTAACCGTGTCACCATTCCTTTATCATAAATGTTTGTATTGATGTTTATTCAATAAAGATTTAGTGACATGAAAATATTGTTTAATAACTTACCTTAAAGTGGTTTTAACTCCAATTTCGCTCATCTTGGCAAGTGCCTCCTCCTCAATCTGTATGTTTTCCGTCTGTGCACGCAACGAGATTATCTGAAATCAAGGTGCATGTTATTTTTAAATCAGCTAAATGATGAGTCAGTCTAGTAAAATGAGCCCAGTTGGCTTACTTGTTGTATTTCTTCTTTGGAATATGGCATAGTACGGACGATCATGAGTCGGTCCAGGAGATCCAGTGGGATGCCATGAGGGGCCACAAGGTCTTCTGTGCCTCTGAAACCATCAACTCATTCAATATAAGCCAATCTAATCGGGAATATGACAATCAGCAATCTAGAAATAAAATTTGGAAACCTGATTGAACATTTGCCTCTGTTTGTTGCAAAGATAACGATGGGAGCGATAGTTGATTCAAGTGCCCTGTGCAGGTATGTGAAGCATTCAATGTCAAGCATGTGCACCTCGTCGATGAACAAGACTCCGGGCACCAACTCCGCTATGCCCTGATCAATGTACTTGTTCACTATTTTGTTGATCTCCTGTCGTAGCTTGTCTGCGTGCATCATTTTATACTTCGTAATTTGTAATTGTGTTTAGTTATGTTTTACATTTTTTAGAGTGAGGTGAAAGCAATCACATTTCAATGGAACAACTGATTCTTATCAAACTTCAAAACTACATGAGATAATTCGTTAAAAAACGTCAAAACAGTGACCGTACAAAAGTGAGAGATGAAAATATTGAATTATTCTTATTAGCAATCCAATAGAAGTTCGAATTGAAATTTCCACAGTTACCCGTTATTTCAGTCTTCTTGGGTTTCATGAACTGTCCAAGCATTGAAATGACATCTTGACCACCCTTCATTTTTTAGTTATCATTATCAACATCAGGTCATTAGCGATAGTTTTTGTAGTATTATTACAGTTAGAACATCTTATGATCAGTAAACATATTTAATTGCAAATTTTATTTCAAATATGACAGTTTTTGAGTTCTTTGTAAATGTTTTGTAGTGATGTTTTCTGTCAATTTGCTAGTTTAAACTAAATTTTTTATGTTGAAAAACATTAAATAAGGAAGGATAAATAAATATTTTGCAAATATTTTAATTATATTTTTATAAAAATACTCTCATGGAATCATTAATTTTAATTATGTATGTATGGTTATGTAATTTAACGTTTGTCTGACTTGTGGTTTGGCATTGGCAACATCGAGGTCGTGCAGGGTAACATCTTGCACCACTTCCTTCTTCTTGTGAACATCTCCCTTCGGTAGTGGCACGTACTCCTCTGCCTCCAGATCAAACTCTGTGGCGTATATATCTGACCTACCCTGGCGCTGAAATGCAAAATGCAGAGTTAAGTTTTACTAAATTAATTATCTTTCATTCAAGATGTCTTGTGTAACATGTTTGTTAAGTGGTATCAATCTAATAATAGCTCATCAATATGGTAATCATTATCTCCCAACTTGACCGATAAAATTCTTGCATGGTGAAATAATAACGAAATATGTAAAATATATTTATTTTAAAACCATAATTTACAAAAAATGAAAACAGTCTAAATGACATGAACCCAGCAAACTATCACACCATAAAAGGATAATCAAATCACCTTAACTGCTCCACTGTTGGCTTCGATGTAGATAACATCACCAACTTCTACCTTCTCTTTCTGCAGACCATCATAAATTGTTGGGTCCAGTTTCAACTGCTTTGAACCCTTTGCCGTCTTTAGTCCGATTATCACATGACTTATGGTCTTTCCGTAACCTTTAAACATTAATTTTAAAATAGAATCATAAAAACGTTGATATTTTAATGTCCAAATAAAATGAAAATAAATTGCAAAAAAACTTAAAAAATTATGAGAACCTCCAAATGAGTTTTCTATCTCGGCAGGAGTGAGTTCTGTTACTTCTCCTTCATAAACTTCCTTCGTTTCTTTGATTCTCAATCCTTTAACATATTAATTAATCATCAATTTTAATGGTATTTTAAGGATAAAATAAAAACTAACGATACTGCAATTTTCACCAAATATAATTAGCAACTTTTTCTAAAATTTAATATAACCTATTGCTCTTCTGAAATTTTCCATAAGTACTTCAGTTTTCTTAATTTCGGTAGAATAAACTTCACTCCCTACCATTGGACAGAAAGGGACTTTGCTGCCTAACTCTTGTGCCAGTGCCAAAGCTATTGCAGTCTTTTTGAAAAGTTAATTTGAATTGAAAATTGAAACAATAAATAATAGATGTTCACAACCACAAGATACAAGTACTTGCCAACAATTTCTAAAATGCAATGAGATGAGAAATGTCACACCAAATTAAAAAAATTACCTTTCCAGTTCCAGGAGGTCCGGCTAAGAGGACTGCTCTTCCTGACATTTTCTTTGACCTAATCATTTCCAACACAATTCCAGCAGCCTAAATTATTCATTTTAATATGTCATCATTATATAATAAATAAATAAAAAACTATTTGAAAATTATTAGCTGTTCAATAGCATTGAATCAATTGACCAATTAACATGGAAAACTAGTAAGACATTAAAAAAATATAATTTTAAAGATATAGAAATTGTAATATTAAATAAAAGTAATAATAAAAACAGATTCAAGATCTTTAACATTTTCAAAACGGAGAAATGACAAAGATTTGACTGATTTTTTACACTAATTGATCTATTGATTCATTTCAATGTAGTTAAATGTGACAATCAGAATGTCTGATTATTTCCAATCACAAGGCAAGACAAAAAAGGAGACCTCTAAAGTCTAACTAAATCTATAACCAAATCTAACTAAAATAAACCTAAAAACTAAAACACTAACGACTAACAGACTAACTAAAACATAAAAAACCTAACCTGTGTAATCCCAATTGTCAGTAATATAAACAAATTTGAAGCAAAACAGTGTATTGAATACAAATTCAATATTTGAAAAGATAAATGGATGTATTTATGAAAAAAAAAATAACCTCCCGAGCTTGTTCTTGGCCTACCAGTCCTGAGGCCATTTGAAGCGCAAATCCGTTTTCATCAAGTCCCAATCCTTTAACGTGACTGTGAGCAGCAATTCTTTGAGACTTTGTAGTGTGTTTTACTTCCTCGATCTTCATGGCTGCCAGAAAATTATTAACAAAAATAATTCCCCTTAGCGAGTTTAACGAGTGATAATCAAGTTTTCAGGTTTTTGTTTAGTTTGGATACCGGCGAGTAACTAAATCGAAAACCAAAGAACCAATAATACTAAATATTTTGATTGACGGGAGTAAAAATGGATAAATTATATACATTTTATTCTATAAATATATAAATATACTTATGCTTAAAAAACTTAGTTTATACATACATAACATATTAATTTTAAGCAAATAACATTTTTTATTGAATTAATATGGATTTTTTTAGATAATCTTATCTAAATATTATCATCAAACCAGTTTAATGTTACAAATAGTCACTTTCCAGGGTATTAAACTTCGTTTTGCATACCTTCCATCCATCCATCTAATGTTCCTCATAGTCCGAGGCCGGAAGCATTAATTTTTTTCCAGATTCCTGTCTTGACCATGGATATATCCATGGTCTTGACTCGGCTTGCTTCTTTACCATCAATAATGTTTCCTCCACTTCATTTTTCAATATCATCAAACGATCTACTTGTGGGTCTTCCTTTCTTTTCTTTTTTTCTTCTGTTCTGTCAAACACACCATTTTTATGAACCTGTGATGTTTTTTGTCATAAATTGTAATGTTCGAATGTGACCTGTCTATTAATTATATACATATCTATGTGTCTATACTATGGCCTGTGATCAACTTTAAGCATGTTATGTATATATATATATATATATATAAATAAATTTATACATAAATATAATCGTTAAAATAAACAATAAATATAACATCTAAGTTATATAAATATAAAAAGATATAGGAGATATAATATATCTGATATATTCATATATATATATATATATATATATATATATATATATATATTAATATGTTTATATGATTTGCTCATATAGTAAGTATTATATATATATATATATAATATACAATTGACCGGTTTTGTTTGTTATATAAATGCATGGATATGTATATCCATGTATAAATGGCGATGGTTGATGGGAGTAGAATAGTACCCTAAAAAAGGTTAAGTTAATTAAAGATATATGGTTTTGTTTTACATTCCAGCCATGAATGAATTGTTGCACACGTGTATTCGTGACATTAGACCAAATTCCAAAAATCTGGTTGTTCAATTTATTGTGCTCGATATAGGTGAGTTTTCTTCTCATTTATTCCACTTTTTATTCTTTTTCATTCTCTATTCTATTCATAATATTATTAAATTAAATTATTTTCATGTTTTTAAGAAAACTTCGGTGGGTAAACTGTAAAAATTAAAAAATCCTTACATTTAATATAATTTTACAATTTAGCTTAATAATTTTTCTTTTATTTTATATTGAACTTTTAAAAATATTGCATTTTTTCATGAAATGACAATGAAATCAAATAATGTAGTAAAAAAAAGTTGTTGACATTTAGATTTAGATTAGTCACGCATATTCATGTATGTATTTTGTAATTCTAATTGTTATATGCGTTATATGGGTTTAAATTTTAAACTTTAAAATATGTATTACAATTTAAATTTAATGAATAACTCTTAATGTAATTAATAATACTCTCATTTCATTTAGGCAAACCGACGAGGACAAAGGATGGCCATTGTGTTCGTTCGTGCAGAGTGGCAGATAGGACAGGTTCGATAAACATTTCGATCTGGGACGACATTGGGGAGCTACTCCAACCTGGTGACATCTGTCGACTCACAAAAGGGTTGGTTCTTAACTATTATTTTTTCTTTTCTTCACGATCAGATAATTTAAAGTATTTTCATTGTATATATACAATACATCACATTAAGATTAAATTTTTTGGTTAGGCTGATTTTGCCAATGCATCTGTAATGTGATCATGAAAATTTCAACATATTCAATTTTATTCTCTATTTTAAAAGTTCATCATTGTCAATTCCAATCAATGGTTACTGACTAATAAATAACTTCATAACCGGACAGTTATGGATCTGTGTGGAAAGGATGTTTAACACTCTACTGTGGAAAAGGTGGAGACCTGTACAAACTTGCAGAGTTGGTGTTTTTAACTTTCACTTCATAATTCATTGTTTATAAATAATTTTCACATTGTTAAGCTTCCAGACTTATACCAAATAGAAAAATTTAAAGAATTCCAAGTAGTAGTACACTATGTTTATATATGCATATATGTTGGTGATAGACCATAATTTTTACAATATTATATAATTATATCATTTGGTAGAATTTATAGAATCTTGTTAAAAATATGTATATGTGTGTGTGTGTGTGCGTGTGTGTGTGTGTGTTCGTGCGCGCGCGCGCGTGTGTGTGTGTGTGTGTGTAAATGACTGCACAGCATTTTGCTTTAGACATTTTTGTTTAGGGTAGCCAGATTTTCCTAATTTTATTTCAAATTCATTTCACAGTTATGAACCTAAGTTCAAATTATTTAAGTTGCACAATAAAGCCCCCTGATGTAATAAGGAAAATTTCATTATGTTTGTAAATAAAATGCTCTCATTAATAATAAAATTTATTAGTTGTAGGTATCTTTTGTTGAAAGCATTCTGAAATAGTAATTACGGAAAAACCAATTTTCGTTATAACTAATTTAACAACATTAAACTATTCATCAAATAATTTTCATTTTATTGCTAGTCTTTAATTAATTTATTTATTTTTAAATGCAGATTTGCAATGTTATTCAGTGAACTTCCAAACATGAGTGATCCATCAGCTGATTTCTTGCCAAAAGTACCTCAAAAAAATTTCTTTTAAATTTTATAACATTTTTCTGTATCTGATGTTTATTGCTTACTTTAAATAGAAGTTTTCACTGACACATTAGTTCATATGACAAACAGGCGGACAATGACCCATCGAAAGTTGCACTAGCCAGCAGTGGAGCACAACCACCAACAACAACACCAACAACCTCAGCAACAAATCCAACAACAGCCAACCCATCAACATCTGATCAATCTGTCCAACAAACAAACAACAGCTTCAGTAATAATCCTATTTCTAGTAAGCCTTTTTGCCTTTTGTTATATTTATTAACATGGACTAGTTTACTTTAACTAATCTTATTTATAGTTTTTGCAATCAGATTTTCCATTTTACTAAAATGAACATACAGCAATCAAAAAAAGTTATAGAGAGAACTTTTTTATTAAGATAGATTGCTAATTAAACTCATTGAATAATAAATCTAAGGTAACTTATTGAGATGAGATGTAATCAAATTGTCTGCAGCAATCAAAATAATCATTTCAAACGTTATTCATCGAATTGATTTTATTTAAGTGCCAGTGTTACAAAAGCTTGTTAAACGAATAACCAACATGCATTGGAGAGGTGAAAAAATTAATAAGACCAACTGTTTGCATATTTTTTCATGTTATGCCTAATAAACTAAAGTGAAATGAATAGAACATGCTGTGATATAGTCAACAATACAAAGATGCAGAGTTAATGTCATGCCCTATTTAATTAGCGTTATAAATGTTTCATAAGTAACCAACCACCAGTATAAATTTTGTATGATAAATAATAACCCTGTAATCATTGTGTTAAGGTCGATATCCTAGTGTGAACCCCGCCATAATGCGACCTCCCATGATCGCCAACAACAACAACAACGTCACCCAACAACAATCATTGAACAACTCACAACACCATAGACCTATAATGGCCAAGAAACTGAGATAACAGCTGGCTGACAGTTCATCTTGTCTAGTTTATTTCATCCCCTTGGATTTCCGTTCTCAATAAGTTAAAAATTTTGTTCATTAAACGAAGTTTTCATCTTTTGGTAGGTCACTCCAATAAATTTTACTAATAAATAACAACTGCGGAAAAACTTATCAGATCAAAGAGTACTCTTCTCAATTGCTTTGTACAGTGTTTGAGTTTACAGAAAGGGTGATTCAATACAATAAATTCCGAAATTAGTCGAAAATATTTTTTTCAATATGCAAAAAAAATAGAAAATTTAAAAAATAATTTAGCTAAATATGAATATCGTTGATAATAATTGTTGGTTTCCTATGCTACCGAGCAGTTGACGCAAAGGCATCAAGGCTTCCACAGAATTTTGTTGATGGCAATCGTGGCGGCCCTTGATATGCTGGGAAGGGCATCACATTGTAATTCCTTTATCTGTTTGTTAACGATGTGGTGGGAAAATTATTTTCGTGTATATATGTGTGTGTGTGTGTGTGTGTGTATATATTTATATTTATATATATATCATTGATGAAAATCACAGCATGTTCCGCGTTAGTTAGCTTTCTGTTTAATTTTTCTAACAGTTCGATTTACGATCCACCGTTAGAAAAATTGAAAAATTAAACAGCAAGCTAACTGACGCGGGACATGCCGTGATTTTCTTCAATAATTGCCTTTCTGACAGTCTTAATCCAATATATATATATTATATATATATAAAAATAATTTTAATGAGATTTTACACAAGAATCATTAGATTTAAATGACTGTCACCCTGGCGTGATGATTAAAACCGGTGGAGAGTAGTAAATTTAGTTGCGTTGAACGTGAATATGAGGATGTTTACAACGAATATAAAAATTAATATTCGTTTATTTATAAACAGCGATTGACTCAAGAGTCAAGACCGTCTCATTATAGTAACATATTAGGTTCTTGTTAACTGAGAGTCAACTGTTCGTTATGCTGTGAATGGGGTAATGTACTAACAAGTATTTATTGAGCGTTTATTCTGTCATTCAGAAAAATGTAATTCTGAAATATAGTTTGTTCGTACCTGAGGAACGTGGTCCAACAAAACTTGCCTGCCTTCTGGTGATTCGGCCAGGCATGTTATTGTCTGTATCCATCAATGATATGTTAACCATTTGATGCGTATAATAATGATAGGTTAAAAAAATTAATGAATGAGTGAAGTTGGAATTCAAACTTGTCACCTTCAAACTGTTCACTCTAACTTGAGAGCTCTTGTCCTGAGTTAATTGTTTTAATTTTCTAAAGTTATTGCGCTACTCGTAAAATTTGCAATAGTGTTTATAAGGGATGTTAACGCACTTGTAGTAATCTGATCAAAGGAGGAATGGCTTGAGCCTCGAGGACCGTATACTTGCCTTTTGTCGTTATTGCTATCCTTCAATTTTCATCAAAATTTCATTAATTTAATTTGAGATTTTTCAAGCATGTCTGTCCTATAAGACTAGACAAATTAATCAGTGTAAGAAAGGAAAAAAGCAACGACATTGCATTTAACGAGAAAAAATGCACATAACTTGCAAATTATAAAAGCTGTAAAGATTAAGCTAGGTTGTTAATAATGTTTCGCGTTCTGATAATTTTGGAAATTTATAAATAAACGATAACATTTTTTTGCTACGGGATTAAAAAGAGATGTGTAAGCGTGACAAATTGAAATGTGGCTGAAACAAACTTAATATAATAACGAAATCATAGCGAATAGGTGGGTGGTCTACAATAAATAAAAATCAATCATTCACATGTTAACAAATCATTTTTATAAAAGTATAGATAATACTGCAGACATCATAAGAGCATATGTGGCGTTGACTTTAATGTTTTCATTGCTTTCTGAAAGCATGCCGATGAGTGGATACACGCACATTATTTCAATTGCCTGATTCTTTCCTTCTAGCACCTGGCTGGTTGCAGTTTGACGTTTAAAATTCACGACAATTATGCTCAGTTCGAATATTAATTTTATAAAAATAATTACAACAATGAGGCATTTTTCAAACAATTGAATGTTTGTATTTAATAATGAGAAAGTTTTATTTATTTTTTAATCACTTGCAGACCCAGATCTTTCTCTTTAGGAAGGATTGGAATAAGATTATGCAAAATAAATAACAGTGATATGGCGAAAAAGTTAAATAGCTCAAATTTTTGCTTCAAAATGGTCTCATTTAACTTTGAAGGAATCTACATAAAAGTTACGAGAAATTGCATGAGGTACAGGTGTGGACACTAGGAACGTTTTTTTGTTTAAAAACTAAGAAAACAAGTAAAACATTGGAATGTAATAAACCCTTTTAAAAAATAATTAAAAAATTGCCTTTCCATAATTAAAGTTTGAAATTGGTCATAGGTCAGTCAGTTGATTTGCGAAACTAGAAAAATCAAACCCAAGTGGATTGGGCTTGCGAAAAAATAGCAAAAATTAACTAGTCAAAGTTTATAACAAGAAATGTAATATTATTTAAAATCTTGAGCAAGAAAAATGTGTTATCTGAAAAAAATCTATTTTACAAAAGATAACACTAGGTTAAAAAACATTGTGAAAATAATAAATATTCAAACCGGCAGAGGGTGTTGTAGTTTTTATTAGATAACTGAATAAAACAATAGTTTAACAAACTCAGCGCGAAACTTGCGTCTGCTGTAATGATTATATTCATAATATAACGATGGTTATATAAATATATACAAACTACCATAAATCAGCAATGTTCCTTGCACCTCTCCACCTGATTTCTTGATCATGATTATGAAGGTAGTCGTTGAAAATATTCATACCCTGGTTGTCCAGACCTTCCTGAACATTAATCTTGAAACAGAAATGAAGCGTATCCAGTATGTAGTACTGCAATTAGGAATATGTTAATTATTTTCATTTATTTGAAAAGAAACATTTATAATACTTAAAAAGCAGGTAAGCCACACTTTAGTAGATTATATATGTGTACTGCATACAATTATAACTACCTTCATCTCATCTGGTTCCAAAAGCATCTTGTTCAACAACAGTTTCACTAAATTTGCTTCCAGTATCGCGACTGAATAAATTTATTCATTCAACTAAATTAAAATATAATCAATTATTTAAAAATCAAAGTATCAATATAAAAAAATTCAATCAAAAAACTGCCAGCAAGCGTTTTGGATAACATCTCGATGGCTTTGTAGACGGTTAATCGAACAATATCTTTTTCGTCATCGAGCAAATAGACGAGATATGGAATTGAATGATTTTCCACCAGCGCTTGTCTGCCTATGGAATGGTCTAAGAATGAACGATATATCGGTATTTATTGTTTATATAACAAAAAATTACTTTCTGACGCACAAAACTTTTAGTATGATAATGTAAGTAAATGCTACTAGGTTAGCGTTATAGGTACACGGTTTTAAATTTACAAGTTTTAAAAATTATCAAATTGCGTGCTCCTGTCCTTCCCTTGTGTATTTTTATTGATTTAACAACGTGCACTGTTCCATTTCTAGAAGCGAAAACTTATACGCTTCAGCGAACTATAAACAATTTATAAAAACGAAAAACTTACTCGCAAACAAATAGAAACATTCAGCACATTTATGTCTGATTACGGAGTCGCTGTCATGCATCAAACTCAACAGCAAGTCAATGAAACCTGCGAATACATTGAAAAATGTAGATTGGTATTGTGTGGTTAGTAGAGAATAATAAAATAAAAATTAATAACGTGACAAACCTTGTCTCAAAGCTTCAGCAATGTGCTCAGGATCGTGCAAATAATCACTCAGTGACATCATTGATCGTTGCTTTAACAGTAAAACGGGACTTTCTAAATCTCTTTTCTGGTATTAACAAATTAATTTAAACATTTGTCAGCAGTCATATTTTTGTATAAATAAAAAATATTTTTGCTTTAACTCAAATTTACCACCACCTCATCAACTAATGTTTGATTTTAATTTTTATTTAAACTTTCAAACAAATGATGGATTGATTTTACGTTGTTATAAGTATAATTAACTTGGATCGAAAAAAAAATACTCAAATTTGTCAATCAACTTTGTTCAACCACACAAACTATAAACGATAAACACACTAAATATTAAATTAAATCTAAATAGAACAAATAAGCCTGTAAAATATTTCACCATACCCTTATTTCATTTTTATGTTTAATTACAAAGTTCTTGATATTTCATATCTATAACTAATCTGCCCACTCAAATTCAGAAATGACAAATTAAAACAGAAAAGGAGAGTAAAGATATGCAATAAATCCGACAATAAAAAACAAATAGAACTCTAAAATGGATGGAAAAATATTTATTAACAAGGACAGGCAGAGCTTTTCGGCCAAAAGCGAGCGTAGCTCGAGTGGGATCAATTAGTGGTGGATATTTGGCGGAAATAATTGTCTTAGCCATTTTTTACAATTTAATGGATTAATTTTGTTAATACAATCAAATCAAGTTAGTTTTTTTAACTTGTAAAATAACTACTATAATAATAACAGTTTCACTATTCAAAGTTTTCAACTTTCTCTAAAGTAGCTTGTATTTACATAGCAACAATTCATCTGTTGCTATAGTTATTAAAATTAAAAGGGAACTTTATTAAAAGTAAAATACACGAAAAACGTTTTAATAAAGATTTTTTTTATGAAAGTATTACTCTAGAAAAACAATTTATTGATTTAGTGGCCAACGTAATAGTTTTTATCTAATCTATGTTTATGATTTAAAAGGCTTTATCTAGAGATTTTAAAACATTATAATGCATTTAATGATACAGATAGTAATATTTAATAAATATAATTTTTTGAAAAAAAAAAACGTCATCGCATGACCTGAAAATAATGATGTAGAGCAAAATTGTTGTCCACGTAATCACAAAAGTTTAAATGTCTATGCTTAAAATCATTGGCACACATCACTAACCGTTTGTTTATATTTTGCACGGTGGTCGGTTTTTAAATTCTGTTCAAAATGCAGCTTAATAATAATTTTTTCGCCCTTCTTTACTTTTTAGGATCGTTAGGCATTTACGTTTTAGCGGGGTCAGTATTTTCTTTTTTCCATTTTAAAAATGGTTTCGATGTTTGGTTGAGTAAAGTTTTAAATTTAAGGAAAGTTCGTTGTTGTCAGTGTCTTCTCTCTGTGAGCCAATGAGAGAGAAACACGACTGGATGCCAACAGTTCCATTTTTTGTTATTTAAATATTTTATCACTTCTCAATTCAAAGATCACAATAAGATATAACAGTAGATGGTGATTAATTTTATTTAATGTTCGTATTATTATTTCATTATTGATTATCGTTTTTATTTTTAATGTTTAATCAATATTTTCAGGAGAGACTTCTACAAAATTTTAGGTGTTGACAGAAATGCAAACACAAATGAAATAAAAAAAGCCTACAGAAACTTAGCTAAAGAATTACATCCAGATAAAAATAAAGGTGACCCAGAGGCAGAAAATAAGTTCAGGGATTTGGGGGAAGCTTATGAAGTGATTTTTTGAGCATTTGGTCATTTAATTAAATATTAAATATTTTATTACCTTTTATAAAAATAATGCAACATTTTTGAAAAATACTAAATGCTACTGCATTTGCTATTTGTATTGTTTTTTGTTAGACACTATCTTGATATAAAAATGAATGAATAATTATAATAGTTATGTTACTCATAATATGTTATTCTATTACTGTTACTATTAATCTGTAATATATATTGCATATTTGGAGAAACTATCTGTTTAAATAAAACATTATTAGACATTTGTTTATTATAGTAATAATTCATATTGATTTATTTTCTATTGATTAGGTGTTATCCGACAAAGATAAACGTAAAACTTATGACAAAGGAGGGGAAGAGGCATTAAAGCAGCAAGGAGGGTTTTCTGATCCATTTGATTCGTTCTCTAGGTAACTTGAAATAATATTTTCATATCCATAATTTTTTAGTAATTAGGTTTAGAGGTTGAATGTATTTCCTTCATTACTAAATCATGTTTTAGTTTTTTTGGAGACTTTGGATTTGGATTTGGTGGCTCATCTCACCAGGAAAGAGAAATTCCAAAAGGTGGTGATGTTGTTCTAAGTCTCGACGTAACACTTGAGGAGTTGTACAATGGCAATTTTATTGAGGTTTTCATTACTTCTCTGTTTTTCTTTCATTATCTTGCTATTTTATTTGTTCTGTCGTAACATAATTCAACCGATCTCTAACTTTAGTGATTCTTACAAACAAATAGGTAGTTCGTTATAAGCCTGTTGCAAAACCAACAAGTGGCACTCGAAAGTGCAACTGTCGCCCTGAAATGAAGACAATTCAGTTGGGTCCTGGAAGGTTCCAGATGGTACAGCAACAAGTCTGTGATGACTGTCCTAATATCAAGTTTGTTTGTCTCTATGCTTTTTCCTGCTTATATAATTGAATTGAATACAAAGAAATTTAACTAAATATGCTAGTATGATATGTTTTAGATGAATTGGATGCTTTGATTAAAATGTTTTTTTTATAATAGAATGGTTCCAGAAGAGAAGTTGCTAGAAATTGAAATAGAAAAGGGTATGAGGGATGGTCAGACGTATCCATTCGTTGCAGAAGGTCATACAATAATTATCTCATTGCTTTTCATTTGTGCTTGTGAAAAACATTTTATAAATTGTTTTTTTTTTATTATTTTTTTGTTCCCTAATGTTTCTATATATTTTATTTGTTATATTTTTCAAATGCATTTTTTGTAGGTTTTATTAATTGCAGTATCTTGTGTTTTTTTTAACTTTCAATCATTTTAATCCTCATGAGGTGTCGTGTTAATTTCTTGTATGTTTTACCAAATTCTGGAACTTAATTATTTAAAAAAATAAATAAACATTTGTATTACACATTCTTGCAGCAGTTGTTAATTCATTAGCATTACATCTTAGCTTCATGTGTAAATATTTGTAAATATTTATGTCGAGCATTGACATTCAAGCTTATGCATCTTCCACTTGACGTCATTGTTGATCTTTCATTTATTACTATTTTGTTGATAATCTTGATGATCATTTGTTTTTTTTTGTCTTTTTTCTCGAAAATAAAATTGCTATATTGTAAAGTTGGAAAGTTTTAAATTAAATTTGAATTATCTTCCTCCTCATCTCATTTGTGCATGTAGGTGAGCCTCATATGGACGGAGAGCCAGGGGACCTAAAGTTCATCATCAATCAAATGAAGTGAGCCTATAAATCTTTTTATCTGTCCGTCTGTCCGTCCGTCTGTTTGTCTATTTTTCTATAATTCTCATACCTTATCTTCTCAATTGCTGTCTCAGTTGTTATTGGACAATAAATTTGTTAACACTGACTTGCATCGGCAGACATTCTGTGTTTGAGAGGCGAGGAGATGATTTGTACACGAACATCACAATCAGTCTTCTTGATGCTCTCACTGGCTTCAGGTTGGACATCGTTCACCTCGATGGCCATAAGGTTAGCATCAGTCGGGACAAAATAACATGGCCGGGGGCAAAGATTTTAAAGAAGGGAGAGGGAATGCCAAACTATGAGAACAACAATGCAAAAGGAACGCTATACATCACATTTGATGTTGAATTTCCAAGGGGTGAACTAGCCAGTGACGCCAAACAAGGTTTTTTGTTTATAATATTTTTCATCGTGCATTGATTATAATGATAAGCATGATAAACATTTTTGAGGATAGATTAGTTTTCAGGGAAAAATCGAGTGAAACAGTAAGTTTTGGTATGAAACATATATTTAGAGATGGATTAGACATGGAGTATGAAAATAGTTTGTAGAATTTTGGTAAGTCATGAAGACAACGAGGTATGTGATGTAAGCAACGTGAAAGTTTTGTAGTATCATTAAATTGAATTGGATGCAATAAATTGTAGAAATGTTTTAACAAGCCATGGCAAACCTTCAACTTTTAACATCTAACACGCAACTGGATGAGCTTTACATTAAAGTGACGATGGTAATGATTAAAGACATTTTCTTATTTGTTTAACAGAAATGCAGAAATTGCTACAACAAGAAAGAAGTCAACGGGTATATAACGGGCTGCAGGGCTATTAAATAATTAATTAATTCTAGCAAATTCTAACATTTAATCAGTTCTAGCAAATTATTTATTTTTCAATGATTTTTTAACTTTAGTTATTTTGTAAGCGATACGTTAAATGCTATTTATGATGTGTAAAACCTTTGTGTTAAATTTATTGTTGCATGTTTGATGATCTGTCTGTCTTTAATAAAAAAAGTATTTGTTCAGTTTCGTCAAGCGTTTTGAAACTGCTGCTTAGTGAAATCGCTTTTGGTGGCACAGGACGTGTTCTCAAGTTGGCTGTGAACAGTTCTTTGGAATGTTCTGATTGCTTGCGGCTACTCACGCACATATATAATATAATATTGATCGCACACATATAATATAATATGGATTTATATATCAAGTTTGTAGTGTATGTTTAATAGCAGCGCCTACTTATGGCTCTGAGAAAATATTTGGGTTAGCTGTTAAAATAATTGTGGCGATAAATGCATCGTAACGTGAAGTACAATTTCAGGTGACACATATGGTTTTTTTTGCCAATACATACTTTGAACAAAGTCGTTGATTGCGTTGTGAAAATTTGTTGTATTCAGGAATGTCGTAAGCAGAACGCTAGATTTTAATTAAATATTTGATGGTTCAGAAACAAACCTTTTAGAAAACTTGTGTCGAACATTGAGTTTAGTTCGTTTTTTGTTTTTTCTTGATTTCGGCTAGCAGGGCAGCACTTGCAAGTGAGTGCATGTTTTCTTAAATTTGGTTGCAAAAAATATTTTGAATAACAATTTTTCGTTTTATGATTATTCTAAAATTTGCTGCTTAGCTTCAGCGAAAAGCAAAAAACCGTCTAAAAATCAAAATGGAATCGGAGCAAATGCAAGAAGAGAGCAACATTCAGCAAGCTCAGCGGGAACCTGCCGTTGTTGTTGAGCTGCCGTCTGTCTCTGACGAAAATGACAAGCTGAATGTTGAGAGCGAAGGCGTTTCTGGCAAAAAGAAAAATAAGAAAAAGGAGGACAGAGGTGTTGGTTAGTTATTATTTTATTTTCAATCTTTCCATAATCAATTATAATTTAAATTATAATTCAATTTATTTTTCATGATATTATTTATTTTAGTTTTTAATGAATCTTATTATTTATTCAGCAACCAAGTATCAACAAATTACTAAACATCAACTCAAGTTTCAACATATTAAAAAACATCAACTCATATCATTCAATATTGAACAGTGTTTGCTTCTTATTGACTTTTATTGCCTGGTGAGCTTTATCAATAACAATAACAACAGTCTTAATCTGTTCACTAAGAATTTATTGCTGGTATCATCGGCTATTTAGTGCTAAATGTAATGGATGTAAATAGCATTTAAATTAGTGATAACAAAATTTTGTTTAACATTACTTTTAATTATAGTTTTAGTTTCTAAAAACTTTGTTGTGTCAAATTCGATTTATTTACCAATGTGTGTTTATTTTTCCACTTTTCAAAGATCAACTATTGAAGTCCCTACAAATTCATGACAATAATGTTGACAAGCTCCAAGTTCTCTGTAAGAAATATTCAGAACTCGCAGAGGAGCACAAGACACTGCAGAGCACGTTCAAAGTAACTCAACGAACATTAACTCAAGTAATGAATTGAAGCATCTTTATTCCATGAAAATGATTAAAATAATATGTCTAAACTTTCCATTCTGTAGCATGTTTTCAAGCAGTTGTAAGTCAGCTGTAAACTTGCTTGTATTCTTTTTTGTAATTTTAATTACTAGCCTTAGAACATGATTTGCAAGTTTATTATCATAAGTTGTGTGATGTGCTATTGCTATTACTCAGGCTCAAACTTGCCTTGTCTACCATCTTATGTTGAGAACAGGTATCTCCATATAAATAAAATTTTTTTTCCTTATAGATAAGTCGAGAGAAAGACCAGCTTCAAAGTGAACACAGCAAAACTGTCTTAACAAAAAGTAGATTGGAAAGTTTATGTAGAGAATTACAGAAACAGAATAAATTTATCAAGGTTAGGATGTTTTCTGAAATGTTCCATTAATATGCGAATGTTACTTTTATTTTTCTTATGATTTCAAAATTATTAAAGAAAATATGTGTTTGTATGTGTGTTTGTGTTAAACAGTTATTTCATATTATTTTATGGCATGTGCTATACAGGAAGAAAGTATAAACAGAGTGAAGGAAGATGAAGATAAAAGGAAAGAGATCCATTTAAAGTTTCAAGTACTTGTCAATTGTTCTTTCATGTCTGAAAAACACACCCTCATATATCTAAATATGTACTAGAGATTATGATTTCATATTAACTTTATGCTGTTCATTTATTTTATTGCAAAAGTTACATTAGAAACATATCTCAGCATCTATTTATCTGTTTTATATTTTCATCATTTTTCATTATCTCTGTTTCCTAATAACTATTCATATTTCTACTAGCAGTTAGCATTCTTTTGTTTTTAACAAACAACTTCACCAGACGACAATAAATGAGATCCAACAGCAAATGAACGAGCACTACCAGAAGAACACAACATTGAGGGAAGAGAACCAGGAACTTGCCAACAAACTCAAGGAACTCTATGAGAAGTATGAAGTCAGGGAACAGGTCAGCATCTGCGTGTGTGTGTGTGTGTATGTATGCGTTTGTATAGGTGTCTATTTGTGTGTATTTATATCTCTGTGTGTGCATGCGTGTGTGTACATATGTTTATATTTATATTTGTGAGTTAATGTTTATGGATTTTATTTTTGCACTTAGCACATAGACAATGTAATAAAGACTCGCGAGATCGAGTCTCAGTTGTACGACGCCAAGATACAGCAGGCCAACCTGCACCTCACTGAAGAGAAAGAAATATTTTTGCAAGAAAAACAAAAAGTATCTGCATGCTTCTGTCGTTATTATTATAATTATTATTATTGTTGTTGTTGCTGCTGTGGTATTATTGTGTTGATTTTAATTACTCTGCTCGGTTGTTCTATATGTTTGTGGTCACTTTGCTTTTTACTGTTGTTCTGTTGTGGTCTGAATGATTCCATGGCAGTTCTTTATCATTCAAAGTTTACAAATAATACAAATTTGTTTGTCTAAAATTTTATTTTTTTAATATTATTTTTTGCAATAAAACTTTGATACTAGGTAACTATTATGGCTATGAACTAAATCACTCTTACCTAGATTTTTCATTGGATTCTTATTTAAAATTAATTTTTATTGAAACTATATTTCATTTCTTGTCAATTATTTTCAGTAAACGAAAATAATTGAACCAATTTAGTTGAAACTTGACAACAAAGCTGCAAAGATCACAAGCAAAATCAGCATGCACTTATTTATAGTGTTTATATTATATTTATTGCTTTCTCTATTTAGATGTTACAAGAATCTGTGGAGAATCAAAAGAAGATAGCCCTCTATGAAGAACAAGAGAAACACCTCAAGTCACAAATTGCTGTCTACACTGAAAGGTCTGTCCTTGTGTGTTTGTGTGTATATACGCGTATATTTTCTATTCATTTTGTATAAATGAAAATAATGAATGGAAATTTGTTTGATGTGAAGGTACGAGGAGTTCCAGAAGACGTTATCAAAAAGTAATGATGTCTTCAACACTTTCAAATCTGAGATGGAGAAGGTTGGATGGATGGATAGATTGATTGATTAAATAATATGCCGATTCATTACTTTTATTATTCGGTTAATTAATTAATTAATTGGTTGATTTTTTTATCAATTAACAAACAAATGAGATTGTTCATCATTTCTATTTTAACGTCTACACTTTATAGAACACTGTTTGACATTAATTTTGTTGGAGTTGTCTAATATTTTTCTGTTTTACATTTGATATTTTAGATGTCTAAAAAAATAAAAAAACTTGAGAGGGAGACATCTATGTGGAGGCAGAAGTATGAAACGAGCAACAAGACGCTGGTTGTTATGGCTGAAGAGGTTTGTCTCTCTCCTCTACAAATCTTCGGGCATTCGTTTTATCTTGAGAATTACTTTATTTCACTTGAAAAATGACTTCTTTGTCACAAATTTCTCCCTAGAAACATTCAATAGCAAACGCATTAACTCTTGACTATTATTTTCTAATTTTATTTTTAAACATATTTTTAGAAATATTTTTAAACATATTTCTAGAAATTGTTGCACCAAAAAGAGACGACTCTGTTACAAGCCAAAGTGGCCAGGTTGGAAGGTTTGTGCAGAGCCATGCAGGAAGAAAGGAAAAAGTATTTACACCAAGAGGATGGCAAAAATGAAAAAAACGAAGGCGTTAATGGCAGCGCAGATGATGATGAACACAAGGAAGGGAGGCACGATGCCCTTGATGTTACTGCCGATGATGATAAACACGCGGTTGCATGCTCCAGTGAAGAAACAAATAACGTGCAAGATACCTCTTCAACGGCAACAACCCTGTCTGCCAGCTCGATTGATACTGACAACCAACAATCTGAAATGGCTGATGTCAACGATGACATTGATGAATACAACGGCAAGAATGATGTTGACGATAGAGATGATGTTAATAATAATGCTGATAAGATCTGTTTCGAACAAGGAGACGCTATCAAAAGTGATATTAAGAACGTTATTGAAGCCGCCGCTGATACTGCCAATAAGACTGATGTGGCAGACGATAATAGTTGTAGTAAACATCATTGATATGCAGGTGAAACATCATTTTGCTGCTTGTTATGGTGGTTAATGTGGCAATCAACGAACTTTTATTGACTTAAACTTCATTTCCAACTCATCAAATTGTTAAAAATGTCAATATATGCAAATTTTAATTAAATAATTGGTCGTTGTTTTTATTCAAAGATATTGTAATTAAATCGCGTGAAGTTTTAATGGTTAAATTTGCTGGTAACTTATTATTCTCATGTTCCTTCGTTTGTGTGTGTGTGCGCTTTGACGATTTTCACCTTAATTTTTTTAATTTATTTTCGTGTAGTTTGTGACAATTGGATAATTTATATGCTCAGCTTTTCTACATTAAATTTTTAAATTATGGTCATTGGATGACAATAAATCAAGCATATCTTCAATTTAACCGTTCACGAGATTTTAAAATGATAACGCAAAGAAGACAATGCGTTTCTGTTTGGATCGCTCTCACCTGGCCTCGTTTTTGTTCGTTTATATAATCCAACAACGAAATAACACTGGAATAACGGTATGCAATGCAGAAAATATGAAATAAATTCTTTTTCTCCATTCCATGAAGTCGGTAATGATATAAAACTAAGCGTCGTTGGTTAGTTACGTTTTTGCTTAGTCTAAAATTGTGTGAAAAGGAGCATATATAATTTGATGCTCATCCGATTTAAATCGTGGCAAAAACAAACGGTTGATATTTTATTTGAATTCAGTGTTTCAGTTGGCTGTTACATCTCCAACGTGATAGATACGCGAATGAGGTCGTCTACAAGCGACTAAGTCCGTTGTGAATTTGCGCGCTGAACACAGAGTTACGCCTCATTAAGCATTATAGTTATATGCACGGTCGTCGTCGTTAGGAAATAGGCGGGTCTTACGAACGCCAATCATATCTGTGTTACATTAGGTGACGATGTTGCTGAGACGATAGAGAGTTTGCAGATTAATGGTTTGCGATCGAGTTGACGTTTGTAGATATCTGGCTGGAAATCCATTAATAATAATTGCAAATAGTTTATGATGATTGTGATGAAATTATTTTAATGTACTTTAAAATTTTTAAAGCTAATTATAAATACTTGTCAAAATAAAATTTACTTGTTTAAAAATTGGAGCATATTTAATACAAACAAATTATGTCGACGAACAATGTTACAACATCAGAGGAGTTGGAGGGTTTTGCCAGGCAGTTCAAACAGCGTCGGATAAAACTTGGCTACACGCAGGCAGATGTAGGCCTGGCACTTGGAAGTCTTTATGGAAATGTATTTTCACAAACGACTATCTGCAGATTTGAAGCCTTGCAACTCAGTTTCAAGAACATGTGCAAGTTGCAGCCCCTGCTCAATAGATGGCTCGAAGAAACGGATTCCACATGCTCATATTATTCACCTCTTAGTAGCCATCCAATCGGGTGCAGTAGTAACCCGAGTTTTATTAACAGTAATAGTTCGAGTAACAACAGCAATTCAGATGCCATTAAAGGATTGCTGGCCGCTGACAACAATGACGACAGTGTAGTAACGTCTCTCAACAGCGACACAAACATGGTCAACAACTCGAGCGCCAGTCTCTCTCGCAAGCGTAAAAAAAGAACAAGCATTGAATCGACCATTAAAAATGAACTCGAAGCCCATTTTTTAAAGCAGCCTAAACCGCTAACACAGGATATTTCACTTTTGGCGGAATCTCTTCAGTTGGAAAGAGAAGTAGTAAGAGTTTGGTTTTGCAACAGGAGACAAAAGTTGAAAAGAATGACTCCAACGTCGCCAACGTCATGTCATATGAATTTTCCAGCTGATCATTGTAATTATTATCCAGCACCCCAACAACATCGTCAAGTTCATCGCCATCATCAAGTAAATTTCACATCAAATCATCCAAGCACTTTTCAATTTGAATCTCAATTTTTTGACGATGGCACTGGTGAGCAGCAGAATTATTTCCCCTCTTTTAATAACTTTCGCTACAAAAGTTTAAATCCTGATTCAGTGATAAAAAGCTATAATCCAACAGCAAATACTTTGAAACAACAACAACAACTGCATCAACAACAACAACAGTTTCAAAAACATTCACACCAATCCAAATCTTTCACCTACTTACCTGATTCGCAGCAACAATCTTCGCTTCATCAGCAGCCGCTGCCATCTTCTAGGCAGCAACAACTTCGCCATCAGCAAAGCGATTACTTTGTGAACAAATGTTCATACAATACTACTAATTCAAATAACATTAGTAACATTCACAACAACAATACTAACAGTAACAACAACAACATAAATAATAATAATAATAACATCAACAATCTCGACCGCAGCGACGAGATCTACAACTTTCAGGACAACATTCCACGATGCTTTCTCAACCACCACAACAATAACGACTTTGATAACGATGAGGATGAATTTTCATATCCGTCCAAAAAAATACCACGATACCTCAGTAAGAATGATAGCGCATATTATCTGAGGGAGAATGATTGGCAAACTGACGTCAACTCCTTTGGACAGAAGTTCATACACGCCTATCAGTACAAAGTGGTCGAACACAACCACATCAACCAGACGTACATCGTCAACATGCACCTCAACAGTTGAACTTCTAATTGTATTTTTGTTCATATTCATTAACGATATTTTTGTTCAAGTAACTAAATCTTCAACTTGTAAATAAATTTGAACGTTCTAAAAACATTTAGTGTTTTGCATTTGAACACGTTAGTCGCAAATAGAACTTCGACTTCGACTTAAAATTTCGTGAGCTACGTACAGATACAAGTGTTTATCATAGGTTTGTTCATTAAACTTTTTATCTGGTGTTTCTAGTGATATAATAGCCATACAATAAATATCATGAATATTGTCATGATTACATTTTTGTTTCTGTCAAACTGACTTTTGTTGTTTAAGTGAACCTAACAAATTGTTAAAATCATCTGCATCTTTATAAACTGTATTTTTTCTCTTCAAAGGTTGAAAGAATAAAGCGCATATGGATACGCATATGGATACGTGCCACAAGACGCATCACAAACAAGGCATGTGATAAGCGAGGATCTCTTCTACGTATTCGAACCCGGTCACTGCACGCACGCAAAACAGAACCAAGCAATTTTACCCAATAGACCATCACGCCGCCTTATAGCCAAAAAAACCATAAACCAAAATTCAAAAATAAAAATATTAATTAATAGAAGAAAACCACAAAGATAAGTCTGCGCTTATCCAAAAACATCCATGCGAAACTATCTTTGTGTTTAGTTAAAAATATGTTATAAAATATATTTAACTACAATATTGAAAAACGGCTTTGTGAGAGAAATGATGAATATTTGTTCATAACAGTGATAATACAAAACAAACAGACACATTGAAACTAACTGATTCCATTGTTCAAAACATGTATATATTCACGAAAATATATCATTTTCATACAATACAATTTCTGTACAGAAAATGTAAGTAAATAAATGACTGGACGAATATATGCAGAGATTCAACCAAAAAGGCGCGTACAAACACATGAAAAAATTTACATAATCGTTTCCTGTAGCCTTAAAGAAATTTCAATCATTACATCCTGCGGAAAAAGATAATAAATCGTTTATGAATTGTGACCGCCGAAAGTTTTAAGTAAACAAAAGCGAGCAATAATACTTAAGTGCTACATAAATAAAATCAGTTTTCTAGCGTTGCATTTTTAATAGTAAATTACTTCAACGAATTTTTGCTTTAAGAAGATGGAAGTTGTACGCGCACTCATTGCTCACACCTTGCGGTGATCTTTAACGCGTTAGGGTTGAATGGATTTAATCTTGGGAGAGCCGTTGACCGCCAAGGGTCATTGCATGTGCGCATCATTCATACATATTCATGAAGATATATTATCTCTAATACAATTTTACGTGCATTACATTATTTTATGCATTGTAATTTTCTAAGCATGTTAAAAATTTATAATTTAATTGAAGCTGAAAACTTTTCCATTTTACAAATGAGTAAATTTAAAATATTAGTTTAAAATTTTGAACATACGCACCAACCAGTTTCCATTGGGAGGATATAAAGTTGGGAGAAAATAAATGGCTTCTCAGCATGCAGGCACGTGTCAAATAAGCTATTTGTCAGTTTCTAAATGACGTAAAACACTTGCAATTGTTGGGGCGTGAAATAATTTGCTCGCCAGAATAAATTGCTCTCGTGAATAAAGATGAGACTAATTGGAAGAAACTATCAAAGTGGTTTTGAAAAATTCATTTTTTTTCAAATGTTGAATTATGAGCATGTTCCTGATGTAACAAATGGATTTCATGCGGCCCATGCATGCGACCGATTTTATTGAGTCGAACAATTAAATTTGAACTAAAATAATTGCATTAGAATATCTTGCTTACTTTAAAATTCGTCTCTTAAAAAATAAATGACTAAATGATAAACAGACAAATACGATAAAGATGTATACTAAAATCCAAAATAGAAAAATTGTCGATGATTTCCAATTCACTCTCATAATTTTTCTTTCTTTCTCTGTTTCATTTTTTCTGTTATTCATTTCTTGTTTGCAATGTCAATTATTTTGTTTCGCTTTTTTATTTTCTTCTTAGGTTTATTTATATTTAGACTTTTATTTATTCAAATAAAAAGATTTGCATGTAAACAAACAAACGAATGAACAAATGAACGAACGAACGAACGAACAAAAACACAAACAAACATTCATACAAACCGAAAGACCGACGAACAAAATGAAAGTATCGCACATAGAAAAGATGTAGACATGAAAGCATCCACACCTGTACATTTTATAGCATCGCAGACAGTGATGAAGGAAACAGTAATACCATAGCAATAATTAATTATCGACTGCAGCATGTAGCACATTACGAAACTGTCGACCTCACTTTTGCATCGATATAGACCTTCAGCAGCATCATCCTTTTTTTTTATTATTTGACAATTTATTAAACAAACAATGCACTCCATAATATGTAAACTGGCTGTGTTTGTCGTTCTCAGTTCTCTAGCTTTCCAAATTGGAGCTACATCAACTGATCGGAATCGATCCATCAAAGCCCCAGCGCACGAAAGCACCAGCAAACACAAGCAAAACGAGAAACCAACAAAAATTCGAGCTTTCAGTGACGATGCGAACAGCAGCATTCATTCTAAACCATCTGATCCAGTGCAGGTCAAAACAAAAAATGACAGCCAAAATGACGAAAAATCTGAACAAAATTCTAATCAGCGTCAAAAGAATGACCATGCGAAAAACATGGAAATGTATCAGTGCATCGGACTTCCAGGTCATCCAGGAGTACCTGGCATTCAAGGGATTCAAGGGGTTCCAGGAGTGCAAGGTGTTCAAGGATTGAATGGAAACCCTGGAATAAATGGGAGACCAGGGCAGAAAGGAGAACAAGGTAGTTTTTTTTAAATAATTTCAATTTTTTTTAAATAGTTTCTAAATAATTTCAAATTATTTGAAATTTTAAATTCCATTTAAGAAAGCATGTTCATAAAAAAGAGAAAAAATATCATAATGAACCGATACTCATTTGCAAATTATAAAAGGTCGACGCGGGCACAAAGGAGAAAAAGGCGATTCAGGCCAAATGCCGCTAAGTGACCATTCAATGATAAGCGAGAACAAACTTCAGCCAAAAGTTGCATTTTCGGTGACCACTGAAGAACATATAGATAACAGCAGTGATTACAGAGTAGTTAAGTTTAACATTGTTCACACAAACGTAGGAGGACACTACGATGTTGCCACTGGAAAGTTCACTGCACCAGAAAACGGAACATATCTGATCGGTTATTACTTTATTGTATTGTTCGCAAATGAAATTTACGTCACAGACTCGACTATACTTGAAAAATGAAGTTATAATCAATATGAAATACAAATATTATTCGCCAAAAATTTGAAAATTGTCAACTCACTTGAGAAATGTGATAATTATTTAATTGTACTGATATCGATGAATAGGTATGAATGGGGTCAGTTTCGACGGGCAGCACGTCTTGCTCCATCTGAATCAAAACGGCAAGCGCATGTTTTCAGCTTTCGACAGTTCTGGTTGCAGTTGCTGCGACAATCGCGATCCAACCCTGAGACAACGAGAGGGAGAATTCAGATGCTCTGGATCGGCGTCCAACACTGGCATTCTGCTGTTGGAAAGGGGGGACAAAGTCTGGGTACAATTGTCGAAGGGATACGGACTACACAACGTCCCTTACCACAATTATGCATCATTCTATGGATATTTTTTGTTTAGTGTGTAACGACAGACATTTATGATTTTTTGTGTTATGTTTGCAATGCGATCAGATAGAAGCTACGCACGTTTAAACGTTATATTGAAAACTAGATTCATTATAAATTTATAAAATCAAGTAATTTAAAATATAAGACTCGATTATGATGTGAGGTTTCATTTTTATTAAGAATATTTTTAATGATGCATGAATGAAGTCTAACATTGAAAATTCTCTTAATCAATATGAATGAAAATGTGCAGATTGATGAACGGTATAATTATAATAATTCATTTAGATGTAATCAATAAAAATAATATTATAAAATAATAGCGTTGACAAGTTATAGGAAATCACCGAAATTAGCGATTGTTTTTGACTAAATATAATATCCATATACATGTATCAATTGATATATTAATATTAATTGTGAAATAATCTTCCAATGGTAAAAAAAACAATATTTCATGATCTGATGTGCCTTTTAGGTCAAAAAGATCCAATATAATAAATATGTTGGAATGATAAATGCCTCTTAAAATAAAAATGTTAATCAATAAGTTAAACACAAATCGTGTTCTTAGAGATGTACAGAATATCCAAAAACAGAAAAATCAGAAACATGCTGCTGCTTGATTCTACACATCACAACATCAAATAACGAGACAACATTAACTACTGAAAAATATTTAGTTGTAAAAATCAAATGCCTCAATAAACCAATCATCCTTTCTTAAAGTAACGTTTCCAATCTAAAAACGAATTCTTTCAAAATAATTCATTGATGTGAGTGATACAGTATACAAATTCCTGCCAAAATGACTTGACGTGAATTTTAAACATGTTATAGAGTGACAGATAGTCATGGTTACCAAAGATGTAACTTGAAGTAACATAAGGAAGGGCACTGGGAATGAATCCTCTACCATATGACAGTTTCCACATGTTGGCCTTGTATGTCACTGCACTTGCTTCTCCCCATGCATATTTCACCACCGATCCTAAACATAACAAATATAAAAATTGTGCTGTCTAATTTTCATTTTCACATTATTTCCAAAAATAAAACTTAAAATAAGGTTCCATACTGAAAAAAAACTAAGTAAATAAACATAAGAATAAAGACCTGGCTTGTGGACCTTTGACTTTACTTCCCCTTCCTTCCATTCCAACATCTCACCTGACAGGATGATGTCCGTTCGGTTGACCCAGTACCTACCTGTGTGAGCAGAACAGAGTGCCATCAGAATTCGGTAGTTCATCAATAGAATGCACTTCTAACAAACACATTGAATATATAGAGAAATGAAACTGGCAGCTACCTGAATGACCAGATGTATCCATTGTAGTTCCATACACTAAGACAAATTCAGTGAGGGAGGCATGCATCATGTATATTGCTCCAAGCCAGCCCCCAGCATTGAAGAAGACAAATTGAACATCATCCTTTGGTAAGATATGGTCCGGGTACATGGCTTTGAAATCCTTGTGGATAGATTCTATTACTTTCTTCATGTCCACTGTTGGCTCTATTAATGATTTAAAACATGTCAAATATAATATTAATTTTGCATTATTATATCATAAATTATTATATATAAATAATTTATAATCTAAAAAGTAAATATTTACAAATGAAAGATGAGTATATCATTCAACATTTTAATAATTGAACCTAACCTAACCTTGATATTTTTTTCCAATTTTTATGATGGCTTCTTCAGAAAAAATATATTTCTTATTGGCAAGCCAAATATTAACCAAGTAGACAAAGACTGCAACACAAATTGTCAAAATGACAACATTTCTAAGGCAGGCCAACATTTCTGCAAGAAAAAAGTGAGAATTAAATACAAAATGAAAGGTTTTGGCTTTTCACATAATATAAATAAAATGTAAATTATAAAAACGAAATATTTATATAACATTTATTTATATATTTTATATTAATTTTAAATATAGAAATTAAAATCAGATAGAACTTAGAACAGATTTGAGAATTATCATGTCATGCTCTAATAATAATGCTAATTCTTAATTCTAATAGCTAACTAAAAAAAACTAATCTAATCACTAACTCTTAAAATCTATCTAATTTAAAAACTTTTAAGTGGATTGGAGTTGGTGGAAGAAGAGACAAGACAAGAAGAGAAGACCAAGCCAAGCAGCAAACCAAGTGCTTTAAATTTAAAAATACGCGTTATAAAAAGTTCAAAAAATAATTTAATAAAAATTAATTTTTATAAAATTAATGACGTCTGCTTATCTAACTGACCGGACAGAACCACAAAATGAATAACACAGAAAAAACAAACTAGCAAACTAGACTAATGAAATTACGGCACTGCCTGCTCTACGTCAGAGTTAAATACAACCAGAAAAAAAAAGTATTCGATTTACGCATAATGTCTATAGGTAGATATTTATACCCTTTAACTAAATTGGGTAATTTTAAAGATTTATCTCAATTTGATTGTTGTTTTTCTATATAATATTGTAAAAAACGTAAATTTAAAACATTTAATATAACAACGCGCCTTTTATTAAATATAACTTAATATAAAATACAAGAAAACAATAAATATACATGTAGAATATACGAAAACATGTTGTAGAAACCATCAATCAATCAATCACTTAGCTTATAAAGCGCTATTTCCGCGATGTTCAACAGCGCTCCTCAATGAATTTTGAAAACAGATGGGTCTTGAGATCCGCTCTGAACTTCGCAAGTGATGGAGAAGTAGTCAGAGAAGTGGGTAGAGAGTTCCAGAGAAAAGGACCAGAAAAAGCAAAAGCAGATTTGGCAAAAGAGTGTTTAACACGAGTTAAGAAAAAGCGAGAAGAAGACGATCGTAAACCGGAGCGTTTAGGTTCAATTAATATATCTGATAAATACTTAGGAAATAATTTAGATTGAGACTTATACATGAACGTGCAAATTTTAAAAATTATTCTATATTTTATAGGTAGCCAGTGCAAGAGAACAAGATATGGAGATATATGAGAAAAGAAAGGGGCACGAGCAACTAGACGAGCAGCAGAGTTAAAAGCTTTACTTAAAGGATAGAGTATAGAGTCAGGAAGACCATAGTAGAGCGAGTTACAATAATCAATCCTAGATAAGACTAACGAAATAACAAGAAGGAGAAGAGTAGGATCATCAAGAAAAGGCAAAAGTTTTTTTACTCTACGTAGATGAAAGTAAGAGCTTCTAGCAACACTATTAATCTGAGAAGAGAGAGACATTGTAGAATCAAAGATAAAACCTAGACTACGAAACTTATGAGAGACATCAAGAGTTTTAGAATCAGGTAAGATAATAGGAGGAATAGTAATAAAGTGTTTAGATTTATTAAAACAAATTAATTCAAACTTAGAAGGTTTAAGTTTAAGACACATAGAGTCAGACCAAGCGATAATTGAAAGAAAGACATAGAGATAAATTATGAAGAACACTATTGAGATTAGATGGAGGAAAAGAAGTATAAATGTAAGAATCATCAGCATATAGTTGACTAGAGAAAGAAAAGTTATTAATAATACGAGGTAGTTCAGAAGTATAGAGTATAAATAGAAGAGGGCCAAGGATAGAACCCTGAGGTACCCAGAAAGTAAGAGTAGAGGAGTTAGAAGTAGAATTATTGAGAACAACAGAAGAAAAACGATTACAGAGATAAGATTACAAACCTTTACAATTATTTTGAAATATCCGACCCAAACATCCCTAGATACAGATACACTTGAGTGAGTTATTCATGACTGAAAAATCAATTCTCCATCATTTATGTTCTATTCCAATACAAATATATGAATAGTCAGTCCTCACGGTAGTAGTGTAGTCTCTTATAACATTAACTTAATTTCCAATGTGAAAATGCTCCTAATAAAATTTTCGATGATTCTGTAATATCCCTTGCTACTTATTAAATGTAAACACTAGTTTTCTTGTGTAATATGAAATACTTGCAAAGGCCTGATCAGTTTACGCTGAAGACATCTTCTAAAATAAATCCCCTTTCAACTAAGTAATTAAATTTTTTTTATAAAACGATATTTCGGTGATGTTAACACCCCAAACGAAAAGCGATGTAAAATTTAAAATGACGAAACAATTAATTTATTATTTTCAAGTTGTTTATAAACAATGGATTAAATTTTATTGACATGGATCACCAGGAGCTTATACGGAATTCATTAACATCTATGGCACTGTAGACATCAGCCAACCAAATGGATGAATAGATAAAAGCGAAAAATTAATGCAATGAAGTATTTCAAATATTAGTTCACAGATTAAAAGTTAGCTGTTACACTAAAATGGCCAATAAAACGTTCAAATAATCAATTAAAATTAACTAATTAATATAATTGAACTAAAAATCACGTTTCAATTTTTCGAAACCTATTTTATAATTACGGGAGTAATTAATATAATTCATGATAAAAACATGATAACAAAAGTAATTTAAAGAACAAACGTTGGCAATTAATTGGTAGCCTTTTCATCATGTCAGCACTTGATCATACAAACGAATGTATTAATAATTTGCAATTTTAAAAATATAAAAAAAAAAATTAATCGTAGTAAATGCAAATCAAATGCACATAAATACTAAAACTAAAATCTTCTCAACAGTTACGCCATCGTCAATCAAGTTTTGCATAGGAGTTTTAGTCATTTGGCGTGTACAATAAGGATGCAATAGCTTGAAACGCGTGTAAAATATTCATCACAGGCTGCAAAAAAACTCAATCACACATATCGGATCGACGCCGTCAACATGTTAAAATTAGTAGACAATGGAAACAATACACGTTCAACCGAATCTAACGTAGCCCTACTAACAGTAAATGCAAAAGAAATCTTAATGAATAAAAAGTTAAATGTACAACATTGGAAATCTTAAAATAATATCAACAATACATTTCCATGGAACGAATTCAACGCCTCGATCACTTGAGCTCCGACACCCTATCCAGCGCGAGTATCATGATCCAACCAGAGATCAAGCCAACGAGGAGATGACTGCCACCTGGCGACATAGCCAGACATTTTATTGCACTGTTGAAATTCTGCGTAGCTTCCGTTTTAAGGCTGAATATTAAATTTTAGTTTAGAAAATTAAATTTTTAAACAAATTATAAATGTAATAATAAATATTCAAAGTAAATTACAACATACATTGGTCCATACATATCATACAACACTTATCAAACGCCAACAAGTTAGAAGATAAATAACTATTATGCCGCAACGTAACATATACACACATTTCTGCGTACGAGCAACTGACCAACACATTACACACACTGGCACACACATTGATCTTCCAAATTTGCACAACCGACACTCGAAGCCCATCTGTGAGCAGTAACAACGCTTAACACGCTCTACCATCTGAACTCGCAGATTTATGGCCACTCTATTTTATCTTCTTAAAAATTATTTCGCAAATTTCGCACCAACAAAAAAACAGACCCATAAAGTTTTTTGATGACAAATTGTCCACTGGAAAATCCGACCAATAGGAATCCAGAGTGAATGATCATATCAGAGACGTGATCTTGCAGGTCTTCCTTTGAGAGATGCTTCCCGTTGATCGAATACAAATGCATCGTCAACTTCTCCTGCGCCAGGAACGATGATGAAGCGAATAGAAAGAAATGCCGAAGCAATTAAATTCCAAGACTCAATTTCATGTCTTTAATTCAATCACAAATATCAATAGGAGAATTTCGCCGTCAAGTGAACGTAATCACATGACGATGAATGAAAAGTTGCTTACGAATTAGCAATGTAAGAAAAAATGCCTAAAATACGATACTGTTGACATTATATATTTATTGTAAAAAAAATAATATGAAGCAGCAAAACTAAAATTAAGGGTGACAAAAATTACAAGAAACGAACGATGACAGAGAATAAAAATTCCAGACAACCTTTTCACCAGTGGAGATGCTCGTACTGCGGCTACCGTCATCACTGCTGTTGCCGTTGCTGCTGCTGTTGATGATTTGATGTTTGCAGAAGACGCAGATGTGTCCGAGGTGCGACATGGCCATTTGTTCCACGGAAACCATCCAGCCTTTGGCGTGCGGCGGTTGCAGTGTACGAACGTACAGGCCATCCTGCAGCGTGTACACGACCACCAAGCCATCCTATTCATGTTGATGGCGGTAAACATTTGTGAGCAAATGTAAATTGTTCAAAATTAAAAAAAATTCAACATCATCATATTATATACAAATGAATTTTATACTAATGTAACAGACTGCTGCCGACATTAACAACAACGACAACAACAACTACAACAGATGAGGCAACAAAAACAACCTTGGAGCCAGAGACGACAACATCAAGCTCCCATGAAAGTGACAGGCAGGTGATCTCCGTCGAATGTCCGTACAAAAGTTTGAGAGGTGTTGAATTTATGGTCTCACTTTTTGATCCCTGGCGCATGTAGGCATGGATGGATGGATGGATGGACGAACAAATGAATGGATGGATGAATAAATGGATGAATTGATGGATACACTGATGGATACATTAGTGGATGAATGGATGGGTACACGGATAAATGAACTGATGGATGTGTGAATTAAACAACCTTATAAATAATTTCCCAAACAATGCACGTGGCGTCTCTCGATCCAGTGACCAATCTCTTTCCGAGTCTATCCATGGCCAGACACGTAATGACGTCTGTCGTGTAAGAACAAGTGGTTTCCTTAGCATAAACGCATGAAAAAAAAATCCATACCCGAAAAATTAACTGAAAACAAAATTGCAATAATTAATGTCACCACCATCGTCATCATCATCGCTATTGTCAGCACTATCACGAGCTAGCATAACAGTAGCAGCAACAACAAAAATCAAAACAGCAACAACAACAGAAATCTTAACAACAACAAAAACCACGACAACGATGATGATGGCGACGACGAGATGAAATGAACAAGAAAAAGAACCCAACTGACCGGTATGATAAACAATTGATGTGATCTGCTTCATCTTCACCAGACTAAACACTCGCATGCTGTTGTCCCAATGTCCTCCACTCACAATCAATCTAATCACACCATTCATCATCATCATCATCCTTTTCCTCCTCATTCTCATCATCACCATCACAATGATGAATACGAATCGCAGTGAATATATCGTTCATCATTAACACGATAAATACTCGTTGAAATTAAAATATTAAAACGATCATATATATACTCGTCAAAACCAATTAATCAATCATTGATAAAACTAACCAACCGACCAACCAACAACTCACCGACTATCCAACTTACCAACTTGTCAATTAACCGACTACTTAATCAATCTTTCTACCTACCTACAGATCAAATAATCACCAATCAACCAATTTATCGGTCGTTTGATCGTTATTATATTTAGTAAACAAGTTTACGACAAACAACAAACAACAAGCAAGCACCAAAATCATCAGGCAACCTGGCGTCTGGTGTAACGACAAAAAGTTTCATTGTTGATGAAGCTGTTGATGCTGACGATGACGACTGATATGTAGTGGCTAGACTTGAAGAAGTGAATAACTTTTTTTGAGATCTGAAAAATTTTAAAAATCATTGAAAACATATTTTACTACAAAATTTGAAAGTATGTTTAGACTTAAATTAACGTAAAACAATATGTAGGCCGTTAATTAACAATCTAAAGATAAATAATCAAACGTTGAAACCTATCACAATAAAGTAAACTGAATTAATGTAAGAATCATAAGAAAATCGTGAACCTTGGATTGAACATGGAGACATCTGAAGTGAAGGTGAAAAAGTTAGATATGTTCCTATCATAAGGTAGCCAGGAATGAACCCCTAAAACACCATCCGCCGTTATGCAAATCTAAATTTCAGAGTAGAAACTCAGTTTTGGCAAAGCAAAAAACATTAACAGGAACACATAACCTTTGTCTTAACCAGTAGGCTACTTAAAAAAGACATTTTTAATATAATGATGCGTTTCAACTTTTATGTACATATGCTTCAGACGAATAACAGATTCTATGTATAACAATTTAGAAAACACCATTGGAAAACGTAATAAAACATATAAATACACACGCACACACACACACACCACACATAAACACACACCAACAAATACACAAACAACACTACCTACCATATTTAACGATGCATTGTTCCATTGTGGCAAGCTATATGATTGGTTGTTGGGTATGTCTACGTGGACCAATGGGAGGCCGTTGGATGGTGCACCCTGGTTATGATGATGGTGATTAAGATGATAGACGTTGATGATGAATGCGATGACAAAAAAATATAAAAAACCGAAGGTAAACTTGGGAAGAAATAAGAATTATAAGAAAACATTTGTCATCAATTTTGACATATTAGATAATGTTGATGATGAATAATGATGATGCTGTTGTTCATAAGGTATGGAAATAAAAAAACTTAGATAATCTGGCCGAGAACAAATAAACAGTATAGATAAATTTTTAGAAACTATACAATTGAGAATAACTATACGCAATTTAAAAATAAATAACATGATGAGAACGACGAGGCATGAAAAGAGAGCAAGCAACCTGGACTTGGAATATTTTGAGGTTGTTGACGCTGTTGAAAAGGCACATGACTCTGTCAACCTTCGACGCCTGATTCAACCACTCACGCTTGCTCAGCCGCTTGGGATGTGGCTCCTGGTGGAGTGCATTCATTTGGAATGTTAACATTGATGTGCTATTCCAAAATTAAAAGTCGTGTGATTAGCAAAAATTTGAAGGCTTGTCAGCAGTAGTTGTAGCGTCACATGAGTACGTAAAATGGCGAACCAATTATTCAAATCAATATAACAAAATATTTTCTAAGCCACTATGAAATTGACAAATAATGTTAATTATATGATTTTCAACGTATTTAAAAATGAAATGAGCCGAACCTTGAAGAGTTGTGACGGTGCCTGTCCGAAGTTCTTGATGATCCCCTCAAGCGCTTTCTTCTTCTTCTCGTCTGTTATGGCGTCCAAATCAACGGCACCTGTTGTTTAATGTTCATTTGTGTTCTTATATGGCCGGGGAGGTCGATGCTTTCAATTTGTCCAATCGCAGAAGTGTGGCACGCATGTAATGAACAAATAATTAACACAAGCAATATGTGATATGTGATAATAGCTTATTCTTTATACACTTTTTTAACGAATTTTGTTTATTAAACAGCACCAAAAACAGAAGCAGAATTTACGTTCAATTTGTTCATTTGAAAAGAAATATTTGTATTTGTGTTTTTATTCATATAATTAAAGTAAAAAAATTATTTCTAAAAAGTGGACACAAAGGAACCTTCGTATGTGCAGTAGTAGAAGACGTTGAGTGCCTCTACAGCGGCCTCTCCTTGCTGCCTGTAGCCAAAAATGAGGTCAACCCACTTGTGCAGGTTCTCTGACACGTAGTCTGATTCCTATGTGGCGGTTGGTTGGTTGGTTGGTTGGTTGGTGACGGATGATTTGATGAAAGTGTGGAAATGACGATGGTGGTGATGAAGACGAAATAGTGTTGAGAGAGAGGGAAAACAAAAAATTATAAAAATAAAGAGTTTCTTGTAGAAATGGACCAAACAAATGTAGAAAAAACGAACCAGAGCCTGCATGTGCTTGTCGATGAAATCATTGGCAGAGGAAGCCCATGGAGGTAGGATGACGTCACCGAACCTCTCGTCGCTGTTCTGCATCTCTCCCAGGTCTAAATCTAATTAAACGGTGGCCAATCGTTTCTTAATGACGTAATGATGACGTGATGGTGACGTGACGGTATGGTAATGTGATGTTGGAATGCTTATACGATGATGTCCATATGCTGATAAAAATGAAGAGAAAGAGTGTGTGAACACTGAGATAAGAAGAATAGTACGTAATTCATTATTGTACTGGCACAAACATTCTAATCATATCGTATAACGATCTTCGTCAACACAAAAATAATGTTTATACAAAAAATCTTCATCTTTTCATCCCATATTAACCATTAACATTAACAAGAAATTCAGGATGGTAGAAGAACTCTGGGATGAGTTCCTTAACATCATTTGGATTGTTCATCAATGTATCCCAAGTAGAAGATAACGAGTGGAATTGTCTGTCCGTCACGTCAAAACTGTTCAAGATTGTGGGATAATAAATTGATGTGTCATTGTAAGAATATGATTAAATAACAGTGATTAAAACAAAACCCATCGGCTAACAATGACAATAAAATTAAAAACATTGTCTAATCGACTGACCAGCCAACCGAATGACCGACCGACCAATCAAGCAAGCAGCCAACCGACCGACCGACCAATCAAGCAAACAAGCAGCCAACCTCCCATCCTGCAGTTGAACATGTAGTGACGTGAATGGCTCCAGCCTGACGAGGTAGTGCATAACGCCAGCGGGATTGGAGTAATGGGTTCCATAGTGGAATCTATCTGATGCATCGGATGAGTTGTCTGACAGGCTTTCATATCTATCATTAAATGTTGGTTTTGCTCTTAGATTTACGTTTTGATGGTATAGTAAAGTTACGCCTCTTTTCATTTTATTAACTAAATAAAATCGCGAAAAAACTATTTACTCCTTCATTTAATCATTTCTTCATTTTTTTGCTCCTCATCCATCCATCCATCCATCCACCCATCCATCCAACCATCCATCCATTTATCCCCAGTCACCATCTCAACCGACACAAAGCCCAAACATCCACCCTAGTAACTAACTTATCCCTCAATTGCTCCCTATGTCTTGGATTGACAGCACCTATGGGCCATGCGAGATCCCTGTACACGTTGGGATCGTCGAGGTTCAACGTTGAGGACTTGTAATCACTCAATACCCAAGGAAACTTTAAAGTTGCAAGAAAATTATTGACAATGAATGAACGGATGAATGAACGGATGAATGAACGGATGGATGAATGAATGGATGAATGATATCATGAACTAACCACAGGATATTGGCTGAGATCATTGTACGTTCGACCGCTGATTGTGTTCAACTGCATGAGGTACTCAAAGTTACTCATCTCTCTCTGAACCCATTTCTAACCAGCCAATAAACAAGTGAGAAGTTATTTATACCTTCTCAACTCAATTCACTTTAAATCAATCAACATACAGAAATACAATTAAAAAATAATCAATCAAATCAGTAAAAAGATCAAAAAACGTGTCGAAACATCAATTGATGAGAAGACGGACCTGCGTGAGACCAGATGACTTGATGATCTCTGCCGGCGATCTTGACTGATAGTACACCAAGTTAGGCGGCCTCAATCGTATTATGCGAGTGTATATTTTGTTTCTTACCTGTTTTTTTGTACATTCAGCTGCCAATTTATCACTACCAATAACGTCTTACAAATAGCATACATGTGTATATTGCTTTGTGGCGGTTGAACAAAATAAATATTTATCATCTCTACTTTTTCAACATGTTTGCATGTGAGTACTAACAGATCTGATTGTTATATTGAAATGTCATTAAAGTCATTCTGAAGGGTTGGTTAGTAGTTTTGTTCGTAATTTGTTAAAAATCTGTCTTTTCCAGATAGTAAATTTTGTAGAGATAATATAGACTGATAAACATATAATGCAATCAATGAAAATATTACCAAAAGGGTAAACATAAAAAATAAAAACTAAAGAGAGCCAGCTCCTAAACTGCACCCAACATTTAAGACTAACCGATTTTTCAAAATTCAAGAAATAATTATTCTGATTGATGAGGAAGAACTCGAGAGCACTTCTCCTCAAGTTGTACCTCCTGAAATGAATCTCCTTCAGCTGATCAACTGGCAACCTTATCACATCCACCGTTGGAATGTCTGCCAGAACATTATGACCACAAGTCGTGGAAGTTGCAGTTGTTGTTGCTGCTGCTGCTGTTGTGGCGGTAGCAGTTGAAGTAGATGCAGTGATTGAGGCGAGAGAACTTCTTCCAGGTGACAAGTTGGTAAATACGAGCGAGGTGGATGTGATGTCCAGCCGGCCTTTGATGGTTTCGTAGATAGTTATCAGTTCACATTCCTGGCTCATGATGGTGTCTTGAGGATGCAATATCGACGTGGTGGTCGTCGTTGCAGCTGCTGTCGTCGGTGAAGTTGCTGATAATGTCGTCGAGGTTGATGTTGGTTCAGGTGAAGATGGCGATGGAACACTGATATTGATAGGATGACAAAAAAGAAAAACAAATTTTAGACAAGAAGATCATCCTAACATAAGTTTCATATTTATGAGCAAGTGACATCTTGGCGATATTGTGCATGATAGCCAAGGGCATAAGATGATCTAAATGTTAAATATTGCAAGATATGCACGACAGCATATGTCACACATCAACACATACAGATAAAACACTGGATTGAAACCTATTGGAGTTGATGAGTTCCCACTCTTCATCATTCAGCTGGTCATCAACATTCTCTTCTACCTTCATCTCCTTCACCTCCAACATCTTCAACTCGGACATGACATCACTGCCAGGGTCACCTATCATTACGCATGACGATTTGATGATTATAAAGATATTGATGTACAACACTTTATTGAACGTAACTTCATTCAAATGGACACAGAAAGGTCATTCCCGTAGTGCACTTGCTTCAGAGATATCCACAAGCAATACACAACATCCTTAAATAAACACGCGTAAAAACCATGCATCACACACATTGCAAATGACAGGCGGGAATCTCTTCGCATACGTACCAAGGATCAAGCTTATTTATTTATCACACCATAAAGCTTCTACCATTAGTAGTACATATAATTTAGTTTTTAATAAGCCATCCCTTTGTGAAGGATTGAATTTAATGCAGTTAAAAGAATTACTGTAACACTACTTAAAGCTGATACTGGGTTGTAACAAATACTGGTGAAATTTATCAGCTCATTGTACAACAAAATTAAATCTCGAGTAGAATAGAAACAAATTTTTCAAACGTATGCGGATTATATTTATGCATTTCAAACATTTTAAACTGCATGAATGATACAAAAGAACATCCTACCAGAACTGGCTAGAGTTTTGTTTTTATTGAGATCAACATGACTACCGCTGTTGACGTTGACGCTAACTTCACTGACGACGAGTTTCGGTCTCATGCGCAGATGGTTCTCACACGGCGAGATCGTATGCAGGCCGATTGTTGAGGGCGAGTTCGTTCTTGGTGGGCGCGTTTATTGTTGCCATTTATTTTGAGAGGTTTTTTAACTAATATATTATTTAATTTGAAACAAATTACCACCAACTACAAGCAATACCGAAAACCGACCAATCATATAACTGAAGAATCATAAAGACAAAAAACATAAAACCAATTAATTCAAGTACATTTATCTTATCACCAAAATTTAAATAGTGCATACATGTACGACGAGTGATGTTACTATCCTCCAATCATTTGACTTGCAACGTCCTATCAGATCAACCCTAACCCTAATTCACAATCACACAAACTCACTTTTCAGGCCAGAGTCCCCTCTCTGAATAGAAATTTTTCTTGGCCATCTTCCACCTCTGCTTGACGACCAGCTCCTGATTGCACATGTGCGTCAGTCGGCTCTTCAATCTTTTCTGCTCCTCACTTTCTCTGGCGCGCACGCACGATATGTACTGCTTCTGACCATTTCCACATTTCATTGAGAAGTCGTTAGTTAGTTAGTTGTACATAAAATGTGTACTGCTTTTAAGTGCATTAACTGATGGCACGGTACGTCACATTTAATGATGCAGACTTACGTATTCCATAGAAGATTAAACCAAAATCCAATAAACATCATCACTAATAGCGAAAGCATCATCATTATCGCCATAAAAAAACCATCACCAAAAGCATCATCACCAACAAAAGCATCACCTTCACCATCACCAGCCAAAGCTTCATCATCGTCGTCCTCATTACGTCATCACCTCAAACTTGATGATGAACTCTTGCTTCTGTCTGTTCCTCCTGTGAACGGCCACAACGAGATCATCGTAGGCCTCTATCATCTTCGCGTCAGTCTGCTTGTTCATCACTTCGAAGATGTTTGCATTGTACTGTTCGTATGATGGAATGATCTGCAGTGGTGTACCGCATCTTTTATACAGTCATGACGATGACCATTATGGGATGTTATAAAAATTATAAAACTAATTGACAATTACACTTAACTTAAAGTCCCAAACAAGATAAATAACAAACAACAAACATGCTTCTCGATAAAATTTTTCCACTGATTAGTCTTCTGAAATATTTTGAACTGGTTGAAGAAATTTGAATTTTTTTTTGGCTTTGGTAGATCAGGGAGATGAGATTGTAAGTTCAGAAGGTCTTCAGCCTTCTCTAACAACGTTTCAAAAGCTGGTATCAACATTTCTTTGAATTCTGAGTCGTCTGATTTTATAACGCAATTTCAATCATAACATTAATGACAGGTTTTTTTATATTAATCTAAATTTAAATACACATTTTCCACATTGATATGTATATATTATACTATGATGTCTTTTGAAAAACTAAAATGTATGGAAATTCGTAAAACATGCAACAGCCTGCGTTCGTGCATGAAATGTTCCTAACCTCTTAGATTAGTTGCTCTGTCCAGCAGTGCAAGTATGTAGCAGACCTTTTGAAATACTTGAAGTTGCTTCGAGTAGAACAGTTCGTGAAGTTTGGCCACAGCAATTGAACACAACTTGAAAATTTATCGATTTTTAAAATATATAAAGTTTACATTTTAAACTGTAACCGATCAGATATTAAAATTATAATTGGGGATCTATTGTTTCTTCATCGTATGCTGATATTGAAATATTATAAATTAGAAATATTATGCTTATTGTAAATTGAATTAGAATAATTGAACGACTTGAATCATCAACGTGATAATTTTTATGCTGACAGCTTAAGTTGCTCATCAAAAACGCAGTACAATTAAAAAATATTGATGGGGTAAACATCTACTCAGCCATTCATGGCGGAAATCACAGCAACATTAGAAACATTAAAATAGCAGAAAACCTGATCATAAATACTACAACGAAAAATATTCGTCGGCAAGCAACGCAATTCAAAACCTGTTTGTCCGGCTGCCCAATGAAGAGCAAGAGGAAGGCAATTTCAAGCTGTTCAAAAGCAGTGAGGTCCATGTCGTTGTTCAGTACGTACACAGCTCCTATCAGGTCTATGATGTTCTGCAACAACTGTACGAATGTATGTGTGTATATGCATGCATGTTTTTCTGTACGTATGTGTGTTTGTGTGAGTATAGATTTTTATGTGTGTGTGTGTGCGTGTGTGTGTGTGTGTGTAAGTATATAAAATATTTGTATATTTGCAGTGTGTTTCACTAATCATTACTACAAAAAGGATATTTAACATCAAGTGAGAGGAAAACTTCACAAAACATGAAAAAAAAACACACTTGAAAATTACAACCCGCCAGCTGCAACTCACCAATTCACTGAACTTCTCCGGGGACTGATCACGTGATAGGAAGTAATACAGCAACTTCATCAAGTACAACGAGTTCTTCGACACTGTTGCTCTTGAACTGACTGGACGAGTGATCCGTTAAAACAATTATATTGCCAGTAAACAAAATTAATCAAAAAATTAAAGTAATAATTAAAATGCAAAATAATTATTACATTTAGGCAAAAAATACACATAAAACATTCAACGTCAAGTTTAAAACAACGCAAAAAGACAAACTAGAGAGATGATTGAGGTCATTGTAGCAGGATCTGATGAGCAGCTCAAAGTACCTTCTCGTCATGATAGCGGTTGACATTATCACATCATTGCGCTTCGATATCAAATCAAAAGCTGATATCGTCGTTAATCGCGTCTGAAATGTAAATGTAAAAAAATATGCTTAATGTTCTGAATGGTCCTGTTAATATATCAATCATTCCAATGATTCTCAAACAGTTGGTCATTTGATAGTAAGAAAACAAACGAACGGCAAACAGCCACAAGTCGACTGACCTTCCACAGCTTGTCATCAACAGAAACAAGACCGTCAGCACTCCTCCACGCTACGATGTACAATGAAAACAACACCAACACCATCAACTCATCTCTCCTACTCAGTTCATCATATTTGAAAGGAGATGAATATGACGACGACGATAACAATCCCAAGGAGTGCAGAGAAAAACCTAAAATTTTGAAAATTTGTGAAAGTTCAAGAGTTTTGTTATCTTTATTTTTACTGAGTGCTGGCGAAAAAATTGGAATGTCCGCTGAAGAACGATGATGAAAAACGAGAGAAAAAGTTGAAGATTGATGATAAGGAAAGGTTTGGAGAGAAGGCATGGTTGTTGTGTTACCTTCGTTTGTGGCTGTCGTTATGGTCGGCTAATGTTGAAGATTTGGACGCGTAAGGATCGTCGAAACTCGTTGACTTGAAGATGTTTGAGGATTTGTTAGACAGGTCTCTTTCATATCTGTGGTGTTTAAGACGTTTAAATTTACAAATTTTAATTTAAAAAAATATGCATAAATAAACTGACAATTACTCTAAAATATTTTGAAACGCCTGGAAGAATTTTATAAAATGTCAAACGCGGACATTAACAAATATAAACAAACTCAAAAGTGATATTAACTTAAACTTATGCAAGATTGATCAAGGCAACTGTTGAACAGGCCAAATTAAAAATATTTTAACAATAAATGATTTTAAAAAATCAATTTAAGTTAATTTGATAAAAAAGTAAGAAATTTATTATGGAAAATTTTAAAGCAAAAATCAGCGGAGAAGCACCAACAAGCTATCCAAGTTGAAAAAGAGTCCCTCTGATTTGCCAAAACTTTGTGAGAAATCGCTGACGTTGCAGCTGTTGTTGTTGATGGCATCGCTGTTGTTGTTGGACAGCAACTGAACAAATGCATCCGACCAAGCAGACAATTCAATGAAAGCTTTTACAACAGTTGGTTTTGCATTCAGGTAATATAGGATCTGAGCAGGTTTTGGATAGAGTCGGTCAATCACTTATCGATTCTATTTAAAAATTACATGCGAAAATGTATAAGTAGAACATAACAGAG